TTGAGCCACAGGCGCCGAGCCCAGAAATTAGATTAAAAGAAAAACACACAATGTTATGGGTAGCCCTGAAAATTCTCCTGACAAAATTAAAGAACAAATATCTGATTTAAAACAAACCAAAAAAAAAGAGAGAGAGAGAGAAATTTTTTGAACATTGCCCTGTAAGAATAATAATGGGCCAGTTTATTTCATAGTCTAGTGATTAAAATTCTATATTTTCATCTCAGCAGCCTTAAGTTCTATTCTCAAACAGTAAATGAACCTGTTCTGGTTTAGTATTTATAATTTATGCCATTCATTAGTTCTTTTTCCTTCTATGAACAACTTTTGCTTTCCTATATTAAGACCACTGAAAGCCTGAGAAAGACATATTAGTCTTATTAGGTATATTAAGAATGAATAGGAAATATTGTCAAATAAGAAATGGCGGTTAATTTTCTGTGGATTATATGTATATGTATGTTCTAATATTATAAATATTGGTCTGTCTTAGTGTATGGCACAGTGCCTGGCACTTAGTAGATCCACAATGAAACCAGGAACTAAAGAAATAGACTGTCAAATGGCTGTCTAATTGGGATGTCACCGGTAACCTCAGCAAGATTAAAGGAAAAGAGTGGGGTCTGGTGGGGCAGATCAGTAGAGCAGAGCAGTATAGTCCTCAAGAAATGAGGCAGAGAAGGGAGACAGGAGATAGTAAATTAGATAGCAGAGCAGTCATAAGATATAGCAAATAAATATATATTTATGTTTGAGGTTGTTGATATTTTGTTCTTTCTGTGCTCTAAGATGAGAAAGGATTAAGCTTATAAAATGTTAGACAACAAATACAAAACATCGGGCAGCACCTGTGGCTCAAAAGGGTAGGGCGCCAGTCCCATATGCTGGAGGTGGTGGGTTCAAACACAGCCCCAGCCAAAGAAAATAATAATAATAAATAAATAAATAAAAAGAAATCTCTTTAAAAAAATACAAATACAAAACATCTAGCATAGAGTATGGCTTACAGTAAGCAATCTCTAATATTCACTCCCTTCTTTTGCTTCTCAATGTGAAAATGAAGGGCCTAGCAGAAAATGGGATGGTGAAAAGAAAGGTAATACACAGAACCCACACACAAAAAAGGAAGTGCAGGAAATGGGCATGAGCAATCTTTGGGGGAAGGTGATGGAAACGTTCTAAAATTGTACTAGTGGTTGCATAATTCTGTAAATTTCCTAAAACTTCTTTAATATAAAAAAATTATTTAAAGTAAATGTAGACCCAAAAATGGGGAAGGAAGACTTCAAATGTTTGCGAAAGCATTCTTACTAGGCCCACTGGGGCTGCCCCATAAAAGTGTAAAGTGAAGCAGGATGGGGCAGGAAGTACTCTGAGGAGGAGAACAAAGGACCCACCTTTCCTTTTCTTTAATGCCTGATGACACTGCCAAAGGATTCCAGAAAAAGTGATAGTTTACAGGGACCACTCATGTCAGCCAGGGATGATTTAGGGCCCTTCCCTACAATAGTTTGTATCTTTTACTTGTACTCATTAAACTCAGTTAATTGCACACTACTTGGGGAAACTGGTAACAAAACAATACCCAGCAGAGGGCAGTGGTAGGAGATGCTCACACACTTTCTCTTTTAATCCAGTTAATTTCTGTAAAATGTGTTCTGTTGTCCCCTCGTTCATCCAGATTTCAGTCATTTGAGTCTTCACTCTTATTTTTTTCTTGGTTCCCCCTAGTTAAAGGTTAGTCATTCTGTAGATCTTCCCAAAGAACCAACCTTGATTTCATTGATTTATGCCTTGTTATAGATCTTCCCAAAGAACCAACCTTGATTTCATTGATTTATGCCTTGTTATCTTTATTATGACCTTCATTTTGCTTGCTTTGGGTTTAGTTTGCTCTTCTCTTTCTAGTTTCTTAAGGTGTAAAGCTAGATTATTGATTTGAGAAAGTTCTTTATTACGGGCATTTTTAGCTATGAATTTCCCTCTAGGTACTTCTTTAGCTGTATCTCATAGGTTTATGATGCTTTTATCACATACCTTTCCCAGATCCTTTGCCTTGCACTGTATTCCAGATCTTTATAAAGCATACTGCAGCAGCATTTCTTGGGTTTTGTTATTATTTCAAAATGTCTAGACATTGATATTTATACAATTGTTACTTTTCTAGAATTGATTCTTCCCTTCTTCATTTCTAGGACATCTTTGCTTTCTTTTACTTTTTTATTTTCATTTACTTTTCCCCTCCTTTGAATGCTATTGAGTATTTTGCAACACCATGGAGAAATAGCAGCGAAGAATAAGCAGGAAATAAGAGGCAGTCACTAAAATGTGGAAAGAGAGAGAGATAGAGAAAGTTAGATACTTATTATAGATTAATGGTATCTTAAAGAAAATGATGATTAAAGCATAACAAAAAGTGGCTATCAGTTCTAATTTCTCCCAACCAAACAAGCAGAAAATGAGCAGTCTTTCTACAATTTTTCTTGTATATTTTATAAAAACAGTGTGAGACTGACTCACCTGGGGAAGACAGGATCAAAAGATGATTTAGTCAGTTGGATTTATAAGTGTCTAAAGAGATATTATGATAAAAACATGGGGTGGTTTGTTTTCCATCTGAGGTTACCCATGCAGATAAATAGAAAAGAATTGACTCACTAACTCTCTGGGAGGCCGAGGCAGGTAGATTGCCTGAGCTCACAGGTTTGAGACCAGCCTGAGCAAGAATGAGACTCCATCTCTAAAAATAGCCAGGCATTGTGACAGGCACCTGTAGTCCCACCTACTTGGGAAACTGAGGCAAGAGAATGGATTGAGCCCAAGAGTTTGAGGTTACTGTGAGCTATGACGCCACAGCACTCTACCGAGGGCAACAAGGTAAGATTGTCTCAAAAAAAAATTGACTCTATTGTTCAAAAGAAAAGGAGATAGCTAAAAAATAAAATAAATAGCAATTTGCCCTGAAAAATCCTGGGCTTAACTAATTTGGTTAAGAAATCCATTAAGCAACTTTCTAAGACTTCCAAAACTCAATGAAGCAATAATATTCAGATTGGCAAGAAATAGTCCTTAGACTGCCATGGGATTTAGAAAGCTGACTGCCACAACCTAGAATCCTCAGAAGAAGGAAGGTTTCCAGGGACCTAGTGGGATTGAGACTTGAAAGGACTGCTATGCATCTAGGCTGAATGGATGAAGGTTGGTGCCCTATAGATTAGGGTTTTCTGTTAGTTTAGTTCTGGCAGGGATAATGGTAGAGCATTAAAGGGGACAAGTAGAGCTTACCAGAGTGCAAGACAGTCATCTGGAACACAGAAATTTTGGAGATTTCTGAAATCCTTATATAAAATGCAATAGTATGGGTTTCCAGCTGAGATGGGGGCATGATGTAGAGTTTTGGAAAAATTTGGAAAGATGCTCATGAATCCAAGAGGAAAAGAGCAATTCCTTCTTAGTTCAATATATGTAAGATGTTCAGTGTTTGGGGGCTGTGTCATACCATATAGGAGAAAGAGGAAAATGGGGAATGTGGAGACACATAAAGCCCTTAAGGAAAGATTCAAATCATTCCTGAATCACAGCAGAAAATTATGTCAGAGGGAAGAGAACCAGAAAGATTTTAAGACCATTGAAGGAGCAATCTGTTTGTAGCTGGGCCAGAATCTAAGCATCTGAGCATCACTAGGAAAATGCAGAGAAAACAAAGACCTAGCTGAGAATCCTAGAGCCAGGATAAATACAGGAGTGAACATTTCTATTTATGCCGTAACTTATACTTTTGACTCCATTACAATTTTTTGTTTGTTTGCTTGTTTTTACAGAGACAGAGTCTGACTTTGTCGCCCTCTGTAGAGTGTCATGGCGTCACAGCTCACAGCAACCTCCAACTCTTGGGCTTAGGCGATTGTCTTGCCTCAGCCACCCCAGTAGCTGGGACTAAGGCATCCACCACCACAATGCCCAGCTATTTTTTTGTTACTGCAGTTTGGCCAGGGCTGGGTTCAAACCCACCACCCTCGGTATATGGGGCCGGCACCCTACTCATTGAGCCACAGGCACCACACTCCATCATCATTTTTATGGACTCAGTTCCTAATGTTCACAAGACAATTTTTTTTTTCTAGAGACAGAGTCTCACTTGGTCGTCCTTGGTAGAGTGCTGTGGCATCACAGCTCACAGCAACCTCCAACTCCTGGGCTTAGGCGATTGTCCTGCCTCAGCCACCCCAGTAGCTGGGACTAAGGCATCCACCACCACAATGCCCAGCTATTTTTTTGTTACTGCAGTTTGGCCAGGGCTGGGTTCAAACCCACCACCCTCAGTATATGGGGCTGGCACCCTACCCACTGAGCCACAGGTGCTGCCCCACAAGACAAATTTCTTTTAGATCAAGATTTCTCAACCTCAGCTCTACTAATATTTGAGGCTAGATAACTCTTCCTTAATGCTGTTCTATGCACTACAGCATATTTAGAAACATCCTTGACCCACTAGCTGTAATTTCACTTCCTTATTCCAGTTGTAACAACCAAAAACTACATCCAGATGATGCCAAGTATCCCTAATCCTGGGGGGGTGTGTGTGTATATGTGTGTGTGAGGGGGTGTAGGTAGCAGCAAGAAAGGGAGCAAAATTGCCACTTGTGAAGAATTACTTTAGATATGCTATTTCCAATAATAATTATTTCAGACTAATTAGGACTACTTAATATCATCAAATTCAGTAAAGAGGAAAAAGAAGGAACCTGCACAGAAATAGTCACATTCTGTTTTCCACAGACAGCAAAAGTTTCAGGTAAACTTTGAAGCCATTCCCATTCTCATTAGTTTATATTCAGATAGGTTAAAAAAGAGAGAGAGAAGATTCAAAAAGCAATATAACATTTGACTTTAATAATTTTTTCTGGCTCAGTACCTGTTGCTAAGTGGTTAGGGTGCTAGCCACATATACCAAGGCTGGCAGGTTCAAACCCGGCCCAGGCCTGCTAAACAACAATGACAACTGCAACAACAACAATAACAACAAAGTAGCTGAGTGTTGTGATGGGCGCCTATAGTCCCAGCTCCTTGGGAGACTGAGGCAAGAGAATCACTTGAGCCCAAGAGTTTGAGGTTGCTGTGAGCTGTGATGCCACGGCATTCTATTGAGGGCAACATAGTGAGACTCTATCTCAAAATAATAATAATAATAATATTTTTTCTACATTGTGTTTCTTTTAAACTAGGCAACATTGTTTATTTGCCACAATTAACAGAAGTTTCCATTCCTCTAATAAATGATTAGTCTTTGTAACCTAATGTATACATGAATATCCCTTTGGCCCCATTTTAAATGTATTACAGGGCAGCGCCTGTGGCTCAAAGGAGTAGGGCACCAGCCCCATATACTGGAGGTGTCAGGTTCAAACCCAGCCCCAGCCAAAACAAAAAAAAAAAAGTATTGCAATCTGGTAAGTTAAATCTGATTAAATAGTGTTACTATATAATATGAAAGTTTTTGTAAAGTTAGCAAGCAGAGGAAAAATTAGTACATATTCAATACACACACAGAATATAAATTTCTGAAAAAACTTCAGTTGCACACCCTATCTTCTATACCAGTTATAGAATCTATACACAGAGACACATGTATTTGTTAATAAAAAAATTCTACTTATATTATTTGAATAAAATGTAAATAAAAACTAGAAGGGACGTTTTTCACACATTCGAAAAGTAGGATCAATGAGTTTCCATGTCATTGCTAACAGGTCACTAGTCTTCACGGAAGGTGTCTGATGTGGCCTGTATCATCATGACACTGTTTCTTTAACTCCAGAGAAGAGAAAAAGCACTGGATCTTGCCCTCACCTGATTTATCTGTAGAATCTTCAAATTCCACAAGGAAAGAGTACCCATTATTCCAGATGTGGAGGCAGGTGTTTGGGTCATAAGAAATGGTGAGTGGTTTTAAGCCAGGATCGTAAACACTGTCTCTCCACCGGATGTTGATGGGTGACTGTCGATCACCTGCAGGAACCAGGTCTGCGTTCTCCCAGAGTGGGTGCACTAGAAGAAGGCAGATGGGGGCTATTATCAAGACTGTCCACTCTCTAGCATCACACAAGAGGCGATTCCACATCTAGAGAACCTGTCAAGGATAATGGACACTAAAGTTTTGGGAATTAGCCACTATGATGGTTAATTTGAGACGTCAACTTCACTGGATTAAGAAATATCTAGAAACCTGGTAAAACATTATTTTGTGTGTGTGTCAGTGGGGGTGTTTCCAGAGGAGATGAGAATGTGACTCAGGGTAGAGTGGATGAGGGGGAAACCTGCCCTCAATGTAGGCTATATTTTATTCAAATTGTGTTGACTTTTTAAACTTTTAGAAAACCTTAAAATAGGCCTTGTTCAGTTGCAAAAATTCCCGGCACAAAGAGACCACGTATTTTCTTTCTCCTCTGAGATGCTCAGATAATTTGAGAATTCACACTCTCTAAAGCCAATTAACAAAGGTCTCCTGCGCAGAGCAGGGAAGAGCTGGAATGATGGCCAGGTTCCCGGATGCCCTCAGCCACCCTTAGTTGCTCCCTACTTTATTCAGGAAATGGAAAGTACCAACTCTCACACCCATGCAAACACCAGCTTGAGAAAACTCAGCCTATCCCTTCCATTGCTACCTCCTCCTTTATTAACCCAAACCATCTATCCTCCCATGGCAGGGAGGTTGTGGAGGGGGGTAGGGTGGCATGGGGGTGAAGGGGGGGTGTTGGTCACTGTTCTTGGAGTGAAGCTAGCATTTTGCCAAAGATAAACTCACACTTTTGTTTTCCTCTCCCCTCTTCTTCCTCCATTTAAGCAAAAACACAGATTAAAATAATTTCCTGGTAATTGCTCATGGTTTCCCTCAAAAATAGGAAGCTGATGGCTCGGTGCCTGTAGCACAGTGGTTACGGCACCTGCTACATGCACCAAGCCTAGCTGGTTCCATCCTGGCCCGAGCCAGCTAAACAACAATGACAACTGCAACCAAAGTATATGTACACCATGGAATATTATGCAGCCTTAAAGAAAGATGGAGACTTTACCTCCTTCATGTTTACATGCATGGAGCTGGAACATATTCTTCTTAGCAAAGTATCTCAAGAATGGAAGAAAAAGTAGCCAGTGTACTCAGCCTTACTATGAAACTAATTTCTAGCTTTCATATGAAAGCTATAACCCAACTATAGCCCAAGAAGAAGGAGAAAGGGGAGGGGTAGGGAAGGGGGAAGATGGGTGGAGGGAGGGTAATTAGTGCATCTTACAAGGATACATGTGAAATTTACTAAGTGTAGAATATAAATGTCTTAACACAATAACTAAGAAAATGCCACGAAGGCTATGTTAACCAGCTTGATGAAAATATTTCAAATTGTATGTAAAACCAGCACATTGTACCCCATGATTGCATTAACATACACAGCTATGGACTCGGTGCCTGTGGCTCAAGAGGCCAAGGCACCAGCCACATACACTTGAGCTGGCGGGTTCGAATCCAGCCTGGGCCCGCCAAACAACAATGACAGCTGCAACCAGAAAAAATAGCTTGTGGCCGGCACCTGTAGTTCCAGCTACCTGGGAGGCAGAGGCAGGAGACTCGCTTGAGCCCAGGAGTTGGAGGTTGCTGTGAGCTGTGATGCCACGGCACTCTACCCAGGGTGA